TTTGAGGAGCTTCCTTTATCCTGTCCTAAGTTGGTTTCATTCAACACACATTTGTTTAGCAAGACATCGGACACTATGTAGGATATAAATTGATTAAAACTTTAATTTCCTTCCAGGAGTTTACAGGGTGGTTAGTAGAGTTGAAACAAGTAAATGGATGTCTACACCACAAGGCAAAATAATAGGAGACTTGAGAGAGGTTGTGAAGGGAGAGAAGCTTAAAGAGATCTTGGAGTAGAGAGAAATCACATATGATTGGAGAAATTGGACAAAACTTCTTGAACGGTTCATTCTAATGAACTCTTCTAGTATGACAGGCAACGATGGGGAAGAAAAGGCAAGGTGCTTCCAGAAAGCTTATCTTCCCATGAACTTTATCTGAAAGAAACCATATTCAAAGACTTTGCTATATAGTAGAGATACCTTAGCTTACTCAAGGCAATAGGACTCACCCAGTGATCTGTTGAGGTCTCTTACTGCTCCAGGATCTGTATTTTATGATTCTTCCATATGATTTGGGGGCATGGTGGACTTTTGAAATGTGGGCCAGACTGTGCCATCAAAGGAGATTGACTGGGAGGAATTCTTATTGAAGTGAAGTGAGAGATGGTGTATCTGGCTTGTGGTTCTCAGAGCACCTTGGCATGTAGATGTGAAGTACACGATGTAGGAAGATCGGTTGAAGGAACTGACTCTGTTTGGTCTGGAAAAGAGAAGATTTAGTGGAGAACCCAGTATTCGAAAGACATTCACACGGAAGAGGAATTAGACTTGTTCTTTGTAACACCAAAGAGCGGAACTAGGAGAATGGGTGGCAATTGCAAAGAAGCAAAGTTAAATTTGAAGTTAACAATTAGAGCTATCCAAAAGTGGAGAAGGCTGACTCAACAGATAGTGGATTTTCCTTTCACTGGAGATATTCAGGCAAAGACTGCCTGATCTGCTTGTTGAGTGTGTTGTTGAAGTAATTCTTTATTTAGATATAGTTTGGACTAGAAGAGCCTCTGAGGCCTATTGAGAGACCCTGAGATTCTATGAAAGTTAGGTAGGAGAAGGGACAATGTGAATCATAAAGGGAGAGAGAGGGTCCTGGAATGATTTTTTTTTTTGGTCAAGTATACACAACCATCAAATGTGAATGTGACTAAAAATAAATCAAGTTATGAGTCCATGCCATTTTCTTAATTAAAATTATTTAACATTTAAGTAAACTAAGCAAAATATCCGTAGGACCTTTTAGGATTTTGAATATGGAAAGTGCCATGTTTTCCCTAACAATATATAATACACTATTTTTGTGTTATTTCCTGTGCTACCCAGAAAAACCCCAGCCTTTGTATTTTGTATTAAAATAATGTGAATTTGTGAACTGGCATTTTTAGTACTTATTGGATAAATTCTTTGAATCTTTGGTGCGTAGGGACTTGGAAGAGTCAGTGGTGGGTTGATTAGAATTTATGAATCTATATCATTTCACCTATAAGATCATGCAGTTTTTAAGTGGAAGAGAGGTGAGTTATGAAAGTTACCTCACACATCTTTGGCAATAAAGACAAATTAAATCAGTGATATCATTCCAGTTCTTGTACACAAGTGTCTACATCATAAAGACCATCATTGTTGGTATACAATTTAAATTTTGCTTACGCTCTCCTTTGAAAAAATAGTGAACTATGCTTCAATTCTGAAATTGACTCTCCATTTTATGGGTGAGAGATACTGGAAAAAAGGGGATCTTATCATGTAAATAATTTTCTGCCTAAAAGTTATTCATCTGTCGTTAATGAATTCTATTTTAAAAAACTAAAGTGAAAGTAATGTTTAAATATAGGCATTTACTAAATATCTTTAATTTTTTAGATTTTTGTTTCTTATTAAAATTTTACAGTTTAGATTTTTCTAAAAAAAAAAAATCAGTTCTTCACTTAATAACATAGCTGTTAATTGTATGAATTTTTTTCCCCCAGATGCCTTATTGTGAAAATTAAGCTAATCTTTGGGACATGGTAAAAAAAAAAGCATAACAAGTGAAACATGCAATAAAAAACTGAAATCAACAGAAGAGGCTTATACTATATTCCATGATGGTGGTGACCATTTTCACACATCCTAAGAGAAAACAGAGAACGACTGGATACCTTTATCCATCTTTGATGACAAGGAAAATGGAAAAACTCAGGAGAGCAAGACTGAAACTACAATTTTGTTGAAACCTTTGGGGGATATAATCTCTTATAATAGGCCAGATATTATTGAATCATTTCATTCAGAAGGCCTACAGCATGCAAATCCTACAGTAGTATCCATGAACGTCAGTGAAGTATCTAGAAATAACTGTACTTATGTCTCTGGAAATCTTAAAGAAATTAGAATGGAAAGAAATCACAAGGTAGCTATCCCAGTTAGTGGAGAGGAAGTGGAATATAGCACAAGCAAAGCATTCATAGGACCTATTTACAAAAGTCCTGAGGAAAATAAACGAGATAAAAGAAAATATCACATACAAAAAGTCATTGGTGGAGTGGAAAACAAACAGAACCCTTCTTCTACCAAAGTGGATATAGATAATGAGTTATCTCAGTTTTACAAAGAAATTCAGGAGCTTGAGAGTGAAAAAGAAGATTTGGAAGGCAATTGTCAGGAATTTAAACTCCCTCAGGAACAATTTAGCTTATATTATCAAGGCTATTACGATGACAGTTTAAAATATGATGAAGAAAAGAAAGATACTTGGTTTAGTACTATACATTCACCCCCTGGTGATGAGCAGTATTTTAGTAATGAGCCAGTTGATTGGAACACTGAATATCCAGTTAATGGACAAATGGAACCTACGTTTTTTAACAACCCAGTTCCTTCCTTTAGGCCTGAATGGCAACCAGTGGAATCCTCTTTAGTTCCTCATGGTCATTTTCCTTCTGGCTTCAGCTATCATTTAAATTTTCAAAGATTTAATCCCTCTCCATCTCTACCACCAAGTGTTTTCCATGCTCAAGATGTTAAATTATATGACATGTACAATGGATATAATGTAAACAGTGGCAATACAAATTGGAATTGTCCGACATTTGATCAGACTAACAGATATTCTGATTGTGATGGGAGGAACAGTATCACACAGGCCTCTAGAAATGGCCACAGTGAACAAGGTGGACGAGAAAGTAATGGTTTCTATGAAACAAGAGAAGAATCTTGGGAAGACCCTTCTCTATTCCAGATGGAGAAAACAGACAGATTTATAAACCAGCAGTTCCAAGAGGAAAAGCTAAAGAGGCTACTTATCCTTTTAAGAGGTCTGCCCGGTTCAGGGAAAACGACTTTGTCTCGGTAGGTAAATCATTAGTGGTATTGGGACTAATTGGTAATCTTAATGGTCTTAATCGATAATGAAAATACTACTGTAATCAATAGCAAGTACTCTCACATTCCAAGTGTAATAAAACATGTCCTAATTGGGGAGAAGGTGAGTTACAGACTATTTTAAGGAAATATAAATTAATTACTTTGGAGTACACAGAGAAACACTACTGGTATGGGAAAGGGAGTTAGGCTTTATTTGAGGAAAATCTAAGTGCTTAAAATATATATAAAATATGCTAATTATAGCAAATTTTATGTATGCAAATGTTTAATAAGCATGTTAGCCTTTACTTTTCAGGTAAGATACTTGAGAACACTTGGCAAGGAGTCAGAAAAACTATATTTTAATCATAGCTTTGACAATTATTAGCTGTGTAATCTTGGGCAACTCACTAAACCTCTTTATTTATAAAGTGACTGACTATCTGCCCAGTGTTCTCATCAGTCAGCTAGTAGACATTTATTAAGCTCCTCTTTGTGCCAGGTACTGTGCTAAGTTCTGGGAAAGACAAAAGACAGTCACTGGTCTTAAGGAGCTCACAGTCTAATAGGAGAGACAATGTGCAAACTACTATGTATGTACAAGCTATGTACGGAATAAACTAGAAATAACAGAGGGAAGGCTTATTCTCTCTGTTGGCGAGATCAGGAATTAAGGGATCAGGAAAGGATGAACTGGAATGTAGTGAGACTCATGACAGAGACCAACCAGAAAACTATTGTGTAAGTCTGAGGAAATGAGAGCCTGCACTGTGGTGGTGGCAGTGTGAGAGGAAAAGGGAGGGGGGTCTATTGGAGAGATGTTAGGAAGGTAGAATCAATAGACCTTAGCAACAGATTGGATAGAGTGAAAAAGAGGGAGGGGTTGTGAGTGACACCCAGCTTGCCAGCTGGAGGGAATGAGAGAATGGTGGTACCCTGGACAGTAATAAGGAAATCAGGAAGAGGGGAAGGTTTGAGGAGGAAAATAAATTCAGTTTTTAAAATGTTGAGTTTAAGATGACTACATGTCATCCAGTTGGAGATATCTAATAGGCAGTTGGAGATGGGAAACCGAAGATTAGCAGAGAAGTGTGAAGGCTGAATAAGTAGATCTGAGAATCATCAGCATAGAGATGATAATTGAATCGCTGAGAACCAATGAGAACACCATATGATCCCACCAAATGAGAGAGAAAAGAAAAGAGCCCAGATCATTTGTGGGATGCCTACCTTTCCTGGGCATGACCTGGGTAAAGATCCAACAAAGGAGACTGGGTAGGAGAGGTCAGCTAGGTAGGAAGAGAACCAGGAGAAAAATGTTCAGAACTCCTGTAGAGAAAAGAGACTGTCAAGGAAAAGAGGGTCGTCAGGGGTGTTAAAGGCTGAAGAGCGGTCAAGAAGGATAAAGGCTGAGAAAAGTTCGTTAGGTTTGGCAACGAAGAGATCGTAAGTAACTTTGGAATGACCACTTTTGTCTCAATGATATATTTGGAAATCAGACTATAGAATTAAAAAGAGAGTGAAAGGAGTTAGAGACACCTATTTTAGATCGCTCTGTCAAGGAGTTTATCCACAGAAGAGAGGAGAGGTGTAGAATGATAGTTATTGGGGATGGAGGGATCAAATGAAGGTTTTTTGAGGATGAGGAAGATGTGGGCATGATTGTAGGCAGAAGAAAGCAGGAGGGAGAGATTGAAGGTAAGTGAGAGTATGGATGACAGGGAGCATGCTGCTGGAGAAGACAGGGTGGAATGAGATCACTTGTGCAATTAGAGGGGTTTGCCTTGGCAAGAAAAGTGCCACTTCAATATTTGAGATAGGGCTGAAGGCAAAGATTGTGGCAAAAGGCAGCTGGGAGATGTAAGTTGAGCAGTAGAGGAGAAAAGGAAGGTGTTAGTGAATTGCAAATCACTTTACATATAATCTCATTTGATCCTCACTACAGCACTATGAAGTAAGTGTTATTCCCACTTTACAGATTGCTGAGGCACAGAGAGGTTTAAGGGACTTGCCTGAGGATTCCCAAGTTCCTCATTGAACACTGGGCAACCTAGCTACCTCAAGTTAACAAAAAAAAAATAGATAATATTTACATAGTGTTTTAAGGTTTGCAAAGCTCTTTACAAATATTACATCGTTTGATTCTCACTGCAACCCTGTGAGGTGGGTGCTATCATCCCTGTTTTACAGATGAGAAACCTGAGACAGTGACCTGCTGAGGGTCACACAGCTAGTAAGTGGGAAGTATTTCAACTTATATTACTTCTGTTACAAATGAAGATATCTGAGGAACTTCTCAGTAACTTTGGTACTTTTGGGGTGAATTTGTGTTTCACTAATTTTGTATATTCTAAGTGTTATTGTTCAGTAGTTTAAGTCTTGTCCAACTGACCTTTCATGACCCCATTTGGGATCTTCTTGGCAAAGATACTGGAGTGGTTTGCCATTTCTTTCTCATTTTACAGATGAGGAAACTGAGGCAAATCTGGTTAATTGACTTACCCCAGGATCACACAGCTAGTAAGTATCAGATTTGCACTCAAGTCTTCCTGCCTGCAGGCCCAGTGCGCTATCTACTGTACCACTTAGCTGCTCCATATCCTAAGTAGTATGTTGTAAATGTTGATTGCTGAAATTAAATTTGAGTACATATTAATTACTGAAGGTTTTGTGGAGGTACTGATTTCAGCAGTCTTTATAGGAAGAACAAAATTATCCAGCAAATGCAAATTATGTTCCAGAGCTCTAGGGTCTTTGAAAAAAAATTTTAATAATTGGGACTAGGAAATTTGGATGAAGCAGATTATTGACTGGGTTTACCTGAGTAGAGTGTTGTGAGTAATTTTAGTTGGGAAAGATAAGAGTTTAGGTAGACTGGGTTGACTTTAATGGAGTGTATTAAAACTGAACACAAGTGGGAAGAAAAAACTTAGTACTCTTCTTTGTTTCAAGTGTCTTAGGCATTCACACACACACACACACACACACACACGTGAGCACATTGCTGCTTAGAAGTAGATTCCTTGCTAATTGAAATTCTCCTTACCCAGGCAAAGTCTTTTATATCTTATAGTATTCATAAAAGACAAACTTACACCTCACTATTTCAAGATTAAGCCAGGCTATGTAATTTAAGTAACAGTCTTAGATTTATCAAATAGAACAGTGTTAACAACTTTCCCTGAATCATGGAGAAGCATTTTACTAAAAACCATTCAGTCCCAGAAAAGTGGAAAAGGCGGTATTGATCCCAGTTAGATTAGTCAGAGGGGATCTGAACACACTAATTTTGGGTTCTCTGGTATATCTTAATTCTTTCCTGAACTTTGACTTAGTTTTCCCTTTAGAAATTCATTTGGCCTTGACTGAAAAATTTCAGTCAAGGATACTTTCTCCTTGGCATTTGATTGTTGTTGAGTCGTTTCAGTCCTGTCTGACTCTTCGTGACCCCTTTTGGGGTTTTCTTGGCTTCAAGGGTACTAGAGTACTTTGCCATTTCCTTCTCCAGCTCATTTACAGAGGAGGAACTGAGGCGAACAGGGTGAAGTGACTTAACCTGGGATCACATAGCTACTAAGTGTCTGAGGCCAGGTTTGAACTCATGAAGATGAATCTACCTGGTTTCAAGCCCAGTGCTGTACCCACCGTGCCACCTAGCTGCCCTGGCATTTGATTAAGTATTGACAAGGCTTATTTCTTTCAGATGAGTCCAAAGGCTAAAATGACTAGGACATGGAGAAAATAGGATTTCTTAATATTTTTTAAGAGGACAGGGGGAGGCAATTGGAAGAATTTTAAGAAGATAAAGGCCATCATAGGGAAATGAATCAAATTTTTGAGATTAAGAGCCATTCTCCCAGTTGATAAATGATTAAAGGTTATGAAAGTCATTCTTTTCTTTTCTTTTTTTTTTTTTGTTAGTTTTTAGGCAATTGGGGTTAAGTGACCTGCCCAGGGTCACACAGCTAGTAAGTGTCAAGTGTTGGTCTGAGGCCGGCTTTGAACTCAGGTCCTCCTGACTTCAGGGCCGGTGCTCTATCCACTGTGCCACCTAGCTGCCCCTGAAAGTCATTTTTTAAGAGGCAGGAATCCAAACTATCAATAGCCACATACTCTAAATCACTAATAATTAGAGCAATGCACATAAAAATAACTCTTAGATAGCTACCTCATACCCATCAGATTGGCTAAGTTGACAAAAAAGGAAAATAATAGATTCTGGAAGGTTGGTGGGAAAACCAGTACAGTAATACACTATTGATGGAGCTGTGAACTGGTCCCCTCATTTTGGAAAGCGATTTGGAACTATGTCCAAAAAGCTATTAAACTACATACCCTTTGACTTAGTGATACTGCTACTGGGACTGTACCCCAGAGGAGGGTGGCAGGGGGATAAGGACCCATATATACAAAAAATACTTACAGCAGCTCTTTCTGTGGTGGCAAAGAATTGTAAACTGAAGGGATACCCATAATTTAGGGAGTGGCTGAATAAATTATGGTATATATGAATGTGATGGAATACTATTGTACTATAAGAAATGAGGAAGGGGAAGGTTTTAAAACCTGGGAAGATTTGTATGAACTGATGAAAAGCAAAGTGAGAAGAACCAGGAGAACAATATATACAGTAGCAGTGATGTAAACATAATCAGTTTTGAAAGACTTAGAAATTCTGATCACCACTATGACCAACCATATTTTCAAAGGACTAGTAATAAAACATGCTATCCACCACCAGATAGAGAGCTGATGGACTCAAGAACTTGTTTTAAACATATTAAAACACATTTTCTTTTATTTTTTCTTTGCTTTTTTTGGACATGGCTAATGCAGGAATTTATTTTGCATGACTATACATATTTCTCGTGGCGCAGCTGGGTGGCACGGTAGATAGAATGGTAGGCCTGGAATCATGAAGACTCATCTTCCTGAGTTCAAATGCGGCCTCAGACATTTATCAGTTGTGTGACGCCGGGCAAGTCACTTAACCTTGTTTGCTTCAGTTTCCTCATTTGTAAAGGGAGCTGGAGAAGGAAATGGCAAGCCACTCCAGTATCTTTGCCAAGAAAACCCCAAATGGGATCATGAAGAGTTGATGCAACTGAACAACAACAAAATGTCTTTGTCATGGGGTTTTTTTTTCCATGCCTCCACAATTGATGGGGAAGGGAAAGGAGGGAGGGTCAAAGTTCAGAACTGAACATTAAAATTGAATGAAGTGGATGAATGAATTGAATGAAAAAAAGAATCAGGACATTAGCAAATTTGTAGAAATGTGCAGATTGTATTATTATTATTATTATTATTTTTGGTTAGGCAATGGGGTTAAGTGACTTGCACAGGGTCACACAGCTAGTAAGTATTATATGTCTGAGGCTGGATTTGAACTCAGGTCTTGCTGAATCCAGGGCCAGTGTTCTATCCACTGTGCCACCTACCTGCCCCCAGATTTTATTCTTAAGTATTGACAGTATAGATTAGATAAGCTATAATGGTTAGTACAAATTAATGTTTATTACAGTTTGCATAAATGTATAATTCTAATAAGTGTGAATATGGTAATTTGGAGTTTGATGACCATCTTTGAAAGAAAAAAAAAAACGGGGCAGCTAGGTGGCACAGTGGATAGAGCACTGGCCCTGAAATCAAGAGGACCTGAGTTCAAATCCCGCCTCAGACCAAACACTTGACACTTACTAGCTGTGTGACCCTGGGCAAGTCACTTAACCCCAACTGCCCAAAAAAAAGAAAAGAAAGAAAGAAAGAAAAAAAAACCACTATAGGAAGTTGGATTTTAAAGTGGATTTTAAAGAAGAGAAAGTCAGAGAGTGAGGGGATTCCTAAAATTATTTAGTAGAAATTAAAAGATAATAATGTTTAATAGTTACAAGGGCAGGAATGAAGTTGATTTAACAAACTATCCTACTGGGCATCATGCTAGAACAAAGGGAAGCAAAGATTGAAAAACAAATTCAGCCTTCAGAGAGTTTATCATCTTTGATAAACTTATCATCCTTGCTAAGCCAAAACAAAATTAAGTTTTGACTATGCATTATTTCTATAAAAAGACACTTTATAGGGAGGGTATAATAGAGATGGTAAAATAAAAATAAAATAGCTTATTTCTAGCTTTTATTGTTTGTCAGTAGCATTTCTTAAGTGGCCCTTTGTGAGAACAATAGTAAATGCTATGGGGGCAAGTTAAATGACATAAAAGCAACAGACCTTTCTTCAAATAAATTACAGGATAGTTTGTCATAAACATGTGAAAGTACTAAACAGCATCGTGAAAAGGAGTATGCAGTAAGGTAATAAAATGTAGTCTAGGTTTCTCAGACATCTAAAATTTGATTTTAAAAGCTTCTGCTTTTCATTACATTTTCTTTTTGAAGTTTTCAAAAGCCCTGTGAAAGAAAATTGCCGATTTTTCAGATGCACAGTGTGGATAGATTAGTATCATCTTTTTGAATGAGGTTTTGGAACAATGACAAATTCTTGAACTTGGGGGAGGAAAAAACCCAAGGCAGGGTCAGTTTCATATTGTACTATCTGTTTTGAGAGTTATTTAAACTAGATATTGTGTTAGCAAATGTAGCATCCTTTTATTTATTGTTGATAGTGCTTGTGTTGGTAGTGATAAGGTAGAGTACTTTGCTAGCCTACTATTTTTTAGGGAACTTACTGTATCCTGTCACTTTTCAGTGACCCTAAAGCATCCTGGGAAGGTACATTTTCTTTTCTTCCTCTTTTCTTCCTCCTTGTATTTTCAGATTGATGCTGGGATGATGGTGGTTAGAAAAGAGAAGGAATGTAGTTCTTGTCCAATCATTCTCAGTATTCCTTCACTTCCTTTTTCTGCCATTAGTTATGTAAAAGACTGGTATGTTCTCTATTTGGAACTTTGGAATTCTGGGTATATTGTTAAATAAAGGTCCTTTCTTCCTTACTACTGAGCCAAGTTTATTTAATTCCCCCTCTTCACTCCCAGCTGAATTCCATTAAAAAAATTCTGTACCATTTTAGAGGTTCAGATATTTTATGCTACAAACTCTAAACCTTAAACTATCCTCCATGATATTGTTTTATTTGTCATTCAGAATAGCCTTGGGCTAAATATGGGATTTTTCAGAATAAATTCCTCCACAGTGCTCATTTTCAGGTTACTAGTTCATTGAAGGTGCATTAAATATATAACTTCTGAAGACATTAAAGATAACAAGGTGTCAAACTGTTAGTGTTTGTATGTGTAAGGTTACTGGCTTAATGGGCTTGAAAATCTGGTTTTCCCTGGCACATTGTTTTGTTAAAGCCAACATGTTAAGAGCAGCATAAAAGCTCTTTGAAGTAGCCTTTGTGGCAACAGCAGAACGTGACAGCTGACAACAAAAGAAGAAAGAAAAAAAAATAGAGAGTCATGTGATTTGTGAACACTCAATGTAGAGAAAGACAACTCTAACTCAATTCAAGAGTTTCTGAGATTGAATTCTGAGGAATTCAAGAATTCCTGAGGGTATCACTGAATTATAGAATAGTTGATCATTTTTAGTTAACTAAAAAGATTACATTATAGTTATTTTCTAAGGCAAAGATGTATGTAATTACATTGTAAGCTCTTTCCATAAAAATATACATTGATAAATATTCATTCTTCTTTCTCTCCTCCTCTCCTGAAAAAATAAAGCCAAGAGAAAAAAAGAGTTTTTCTGATTTGTGAAGAGCTTGAAAAGTGGTAGAAATATTGTGTATTTTTAAAATCATCTTGGATTTTGACATTGGTCAGATGTTATCTTTGAAGGGTTAATATGCCCAGAACTGGATTACCTCATTTCAATATGACTTTGATTATTAAGTCTAGCTGAAATACTTTTGAAAGTTCTTTAAAATTTATTTATAGCTGTGTAGATATTTCTGTATATAACATAATTTCTTTGCTTCTGTTGACAGTGTTCTGCTTGGTCAAAATCGTGGTGGCATTGTCTTCAGCACTGATGATTATTTTCGACATCGAAATGGGTATACGTACAACGTTAGACAACTTGGTGATGCCCATGACTGGAACCAGAGCAGAGGTGTGATAACATTAGATGACGTTTCTCAGGTTTTTGAATAAATAAGTAAAACAGCCCTCTGTGTACCTGCTCAAATCAGCATTGAGATTCCAGCATGTAGACTTTCAGAGTTGGAAGGAATCTCAGCGGTCATTTAGTCTAACCCAGGGGTGGGGAACCTGCAGCCTCCAGGCCACATGTGGCCTCTAGGTCATCAGATCCCCTTAATTCATTTCTGAATAGGAATCCTTTCTGTAGCATCCCCCAGAAATGGTCATCCAGCTTTTGCTTGAAATCGTATAGTGAAGGATCCCTGCCTTCTGAGGATCCCTTTCTTCCTTTATTTGTTAGAATAGATCGGTAGAATGGAATAGAAAAGATACCTTTGTTTGTTAGAAAGTTTTTCCTTATGTCTAGCTAAAAATCAGCCTTTCTGAACTTCATCCTGGAGCCAAGTGCAGCCCTTTCACTAAATCCAAACTTAATCCTAAAGGGATTCGTTCTGTGAAGTTTGGATTCAGTCAAAGGGGCACACTTGAGGATCTAGAGGGCCACATGTGGCCGGCTACAGGTTCCCCACTCCTGCCTAGGCTGTCATGAAGTCCAAATGAGATGATAGACAAAGTGAGTCTGGCACCTTCCTACCCTCCTTTCTGTGTTTTCTACTGGCTGCTTTGTTTCCTGTCCTAAGCACCTCTGCCTCCCCTACTTCCCAGTGCTTTCATGTTGGTCTTTGGGTGTCAAAAGCTCAGTCCTAGCTTGGGAGACTGGGAGGTTGGTGGTGCCTTCTGTAGTAATGGGAAGTTTGAAAAGGGTAATGTTTGAGAGGAAAGATAATGAATTCAGTTTTGAAAATGTTGAGTTTAAGATGTCTACAGATCATCCTGTTTGAGATGTCCAAAAGGCAGTTGGAGATGGAAAACTGGAGGTCATCATAGAGATTAGGGCTAGATTAGTTGATCTAAGAATCATTTGCATAGAGATTGGATGTGGAAAGTAAGAGAGAATGAAGAGTAACACCTTAATTGTAAACTTAGATGACTAGAAGGATAGTGGGGTCATTAACCCAAGAAAATCTCTAATGGGTAGAATTTCAGGAATGGGGTACATATTTTTGACCTGAGGTGGCATTTTCAGTGTTGCTACTTGAATTGATGGATCCTGCCATCCCCCTACATTACAGTAGAACAGTAGTAGTTTAGCCAATCTGCTTCTGTGATATGGTGCTATTTTTCTATTGTAAACCGTGGGCTCCAGTACATGTTGGTAGGTGCTTACAGCTATTTATGTTGTTTTGATTGAGCTTCTAGATTGGGCTTATTTACCCTTAAATTGTTTTGAAGTTTTAAGCTAGTAAGGAAGTAGCCAGATTCACAAGTTCTTCCAAGTACTAGTGGTTTCTGCCACATTCTCCTAAGAGGAAGGCACATGTTACTACATGACTCAAGTAGCTAAGTGTGATATATACATAGTTAGAGCGCTTTTGGCCCTAGTTGCATGGCTAAAACAGCTGAAACAAGCAAGTAGGCTAGTCAGAGTAAATTCACAGTCTTGCCTGATTTAGAACAAATAAATGTTATTTTTTCTAGAAACTTTTAGTAGAATGATCACTTGTGACCATTTAATTCTGTTGTGCATATTTACTTGGTGTTTCTAAAGTGTTTTTATTGAAATTTGCATTTTCTTTCAGCAAAGAAAGCTATTGATCAGGGAAGATCTCCAGTTATAATAGATAACACTAATACCCAAGCTTGGGAAATGAAACCTTATGTGGAAATGGTAAATATGAGTAATAGAAAATTTTGATCTGGTCATTGTTTTCTTTCTGTATTTTTGTTCACAAATATTACAAATTTGGAAGCTTTGCTCTTTATATTCTTTCCTATTTCAGAAAAGATTTTTTAAAAATTCTGTATAATAACCCTCATGTAGGTGAAAGTATGCTTGACCAAAGTTTATAATGTCAGAATTAATTTAGCAATTGAAATAAAATAAATGTTGTTAAACTAAAACAAAGAAAAAATTCTAATATATTCAGTGTAATGAATGTGAAATTCAAAGTGTTGCCTAATATGTATGAAGTAGTACAGCTTTTTCTTACTTTAGGAAATCTTCTAACTGTTTGCTTTTTTTAACGTGATTTTTGTAGGCTATAGGTAAAGGATACCGAGTGGAGTTCCACGAACCTGAAACATGGTGGAAATTTGATCCTGATGAATTAGAAAAGTAAGAAAACATATTGATTTCTCAAATGAGTATTTTTTACACTGCTAAGTCGCTTGACAGTAATACTTTATATTGATCTATACAATTTAGAAAGCACTATTGCGTATATTATCTCTTAATTCTAACAACTAATTTCAGAGGTAGACAGAATAGGAAGTATTACATTTCACAAAGGTCTAATGATCTACCCAGAGTCACAAACTAATAAGTGGGATTAGAATTAGGATCTTCAGATTTAGTCCAGTGCTTTTCTACTATATCTTGCTGCCTCTCTTAAATTGCTTTATGCAGAATATTAATGATAGAGTTCTGTTAAGTGACAATTATATTAAATTTGTCCTTTTAATTTAAATGGAACTTTGACTTCTTGTTACATTTTGATTTTATTTATACCTTCTGTTTTTATGCCACTTTCATTTTAATATATTCCTTCCCTTACTCTACCCAGCAAGACATCTCACAACAAAGATTAAAAAAGAGGAAAAACAATTCAGCAAAGCAAACCAACAACCTTGGCTGCCCATCCCCCACCCCCACCCCAGTTTGATTGTATATTCAAGGAACATTTATTTTTAAATGTTAAAGCATAGTTTTTAAAGGATCCTGTCATTAACTATCTTTTATTGACTTTAATTTCTTGCTTATCTTATGTGAATTCTAAGATGTTGGAGGTAATTACTACCTTTATTGTCCTCTCTCGTCACAGTTAACCATACTAGGTCAGCTCTGCATTTTGCTTCTAGTCTCCTGTCACCTCTGTTCCAATATACTTCTTGGCTTCCCTTTATACTTCCTTCTTTAGACCTGTTTCTTTCAACTTCATGCATTTTCAGTTACTTCCTTTTTCTTTTTGATCTTCTCATTGCCTCTTGTACAAAGCATCAGCAGTGATGAAAGGAATTCTTTATATTTTTCCTAAAATATCGTTGTGACAGGGAAAAATGAAATAAAAGTTACGAAAGTATGGATATTAGAGTTAAGCATAGAATATATTTCCAGGTACTTTTTGACATGTCATACAGTTCATCATATAAAATATTGAAGGGAGAGTGAAGGAAATGATACAAACTTCTACCAATGGCTGAAGAATAATTTTATTTTCATTCTTTGGTAAATCCAACTTGGCTTTCAGTCCCACAAGACTTTCTCATCCTTTGTAATTCTTGTCCATGTTTTTTTATAAATCTTCCCTAGAGGCCCTAATGCACCGGAAGCTGTCCTTTGGTTCTTGAAGGTACTACTGCATCATTTGGCTTGTCCCATCATTTATATTTCATTTTTTGTTATGTGACTGGTTTTATCTTTTTTTTTTTCCATCAGACATGTTCTTGATATATTTTGTTCCCCAAATATGTCTTTTGCTTTTTGAGTTACTTGTGATTTGGATTTTTCTCAGATCTTTATGTTACGTGATTCACAGTCATAGAACACCATTAGAAAAATATTGGTATTAAAGAAGTGAACTTTTATAGCAACATAGGTATGTACTGTAGTTCGGGGTCATTAAAAGGAGTTTGCAGGATCATGTGATTGGCAAGATGGAGGAATAGTTTTCTGCAACCCAAAAACCTCAGAAAGAGGAATTATGTGCCAGATATAATGTAACTAACCAATCAGCAGTCCTTGATTGTGCATCTACTATGTGCTCATTGATGGAAATACAAAGACCAAAGATGAAATGGTCCTTTTTCTCAAAGAGCTTATGTTTTATTGAGGGGGGGAAGAAGAGGGGAATTTACATATAGAAGTATATACAAAGTTAATATGTATAGAATAAGTACAAAAGAAATAAAATGCATACTAAATAACTATAAAGTTAGGAAGTGCAATAGCAGTTGGAAAGATCACGAAAAACTTCATGTGAAGGTGGTGCTTGAGATCCATCCACCAGACAGAGTTCAGGAGAGAGAATTGTAGGCATGTGGGAGAGCCAGGGCAGATGTGATAGACAGGTTGACTAGGCCACAGAGGAGGAAGGAAAATAATGTAAACTTAGGCCAGAGAGCTAGATTGGGGCCCAGTTGTGAAGAACTTTAAAAGCTAAACATAGGAGTTTATATTTTATCTTAGAGGCCATAGGAAGCCAGTGGAGTTATTTGAGTGGAAGAAGGAAATGGTCAGGGCTGTATTTAGGGAATATTATTTTGTTAGTTGTGTGGAGGGTAGACTGGAGAGGAGAGAAATTTAAGGCAGGAAGACCAATTAGGAAGCTGCTGCAATAGTCCAGGTGATATCTAAATGAGGAAAGAGAAAATATCAGATTCAAGCGGTATTGTCCTGGTAGAAATGGCAAGATTTGGCAACTGATTGGATGTACAGAGTGAGGGGCCTGCAGAAAGAGGAGAATAATGATATTACAAACCTGGGAGACTGGAAAAGAGGTGTTGCTTTTGAAAGAAATATGGAAGTTTTGTAGAGGAATAATAGAAGAAGGAAGATAATGAACGCAGAATGGCACAGTGGAAAGTGTGCTAAACTTAGAGTTCCTTATTGCCTTTATGATCTTGAGAAAGTTACTTAAGCTCTTCTGACTTCAGTTCCTCATCTGTGAATTGAAGGGTTAGACTAAATGTCCTACAAGGTTCCTTCCAACTCTAAATCTATGATCCTTTGATACTGATTGTTTTGGACATATTGAGTTTCTGATGTCTCTGGGAAATGTCCAATAGGTTGTTAGTGATTTAAGGAAGAGGTAGAAGGTGGACATAAAGATGATATAAAAAGACAATTAAAAACCCATCGGAGTTGATGACGTCCTTAAGAGAGGTGAGGATAAGGGGCTGTTTACTCCTAGAAGGCCTGAAAAGCTTAGCCTCGTTGTGTCTGTGGGGGGAAAAAATGGAACCTTAACAAAAGAGAGGCATTTGAGATATTGATGCAGAAAACCACAAGACTCATATGTGAGCTGAATATTTGACTTGCAAACTCTCTAACCAGCAGAAATATATGAAGGGTATATACGTATAATTGTCAAGAGATCATAGTATCACCGATGTAGAAGGGACCTTCAAAGGCCCCTCAGACCCCTTCATGTTACACATGGGGAAACAGGCCAGAGGACATTAAGTTACTTGTTCAAGGTCCCACAGATAGTTAAGCAAAACAAGTAATGAATCAGTATTGTCATTTTTGTAGGTTGTTGGGGTTTTTTAAAAGAGATTCAACTGAGGGATTATCATGGGTTAAAAGAACCCAAGAAACTAGATATTTAAGGGGAACTTAAAGAATCAGGAGAAGTGAAGAAAGAAGAGCCGAGTTACAGTGATATTCTAAGGACTAAATCTCAAAGATGCTCCTTAAGTGAGTCAGATTCTTTTTTGTGGTAGTGGTAACAGTGGGAAGTTATGTAAAGGGGTAGAGGGGAGATGAGAAAAAAGGGGGAACTGAAGATGCACCCTTACCAAATCCATAAGTGAATAGATAAAGGATAATAATTTCTTCAGACTTTTAACAATAAGAGTGAGGGCTGTGTGGGAAAGAGATAAAGACAATCAAGGGAAGGAATTGGGATGGGAGGTAGAGTAAAGGAAGAATCTCACCTCAGAAGGGAAAGGATTAGGTAGCACTAAAGAACATGCATATTGGGAGCAGAGAATTGTATGTCTCTGGTAAGAGACAGGGTTTTGTAATGGGTTTTATCTACAGATACTTGCATATTAGGAGACCACCTTTTTAGAGAAGGCTGTACATCCCAAGGACTGCATCTCATCCCGGGATAGAGAGATCCCATTCACCTCAAGGGAAGTTAGCATCTAGAGATAGGATAACTTGGCCTTAATAGTGCTAAGTGACCCTAGTAGAGATAGGGAGTATGACTGCATTTTGTGACTAAGGACACAGAGTGCTTCCAGTCATGTGACACTGCTCCCATAATTAATATTTCTAAGAATGAGGCATTTCAAAAAATTGGGAGGATAATGTAAGAACAGTGAATGCAGTAACATCAAGATGGGGAAGATGAGAAATATCAGATTTCTGTCTTCCCCATCCTTAAAAAAACCTTCACTACTACTATCATTCCCTCAAGCTATCAAATTATCATATAGCTTTTCTCCTCTTACTCATTTTTTAGTACTTTGAAGTCTGGCTTCTGACCTTATTGAATTGAAACTGCTCTCTCCAAAATGACTAATGATCTTTTAATTACTAAATTTGTTGGCCTTTTCTCAGTAATCCTTATCCTTAGTATTCCTTATTTCCATCAAATTTCAACTCAACTGTCACCTCCTGAATGAAGTTTCCTGATCCCTCGCAACTGCCTTCCCCTCAAAAAACACTCTGACACTCTTTGCTTTCAATTCAGTGCCTTTTCATTAACACACTGGCTCTGCCCCATACCTGGAATGCTCTCTCCTCTTCTCTGCCTCCTGGCTTCCCTGGCTTCTTTCAAGACTCAGTTCAAAACTCACTTTTCACAGTTTTTATCCTCAACTCCCATTAAGTTCCATCTCTCTGAGATTCCTTCTCATTTGCATTGTATATGTCTTCCAAATCTACTGTAGCGTGTTGTCTTCTTCATCACCATGTGAGCTCCTTGAGGAAAAATACTGTTTTTTGCCTTTCTTTGTGTCCTAATGCCTAGCACAGTGCCTGACACTTAATAAATTCTTATGGATGAAGATGGTGGTGGTGGTGAATAAAATGGTGTCACCTGTTGAGTTTATAGTCTTGCTGGGGAGACAATGTGTACAAATAGAGTTACGTATAAAAGACACACTTGAGACATCCTTTTGTTTGTTAATTAATTAATCAATCATTTATTTATTTATTTATTTATTTTAGTAAGGCAATTGGGGTTAAGTGACTTGCCCAGAGTCACACAGCTAATGAGTGTTATATGTTTGAGGGCAGATTTGAACTCAGGTCCTCCCGACTCCAGGGCCGGTGCTCTATCCATTGCACCGCCTAGCTGCCCCCAGAATGATTTTCTTAAAGGATTAGAGTTCAATGATAATATAGCTCTAGTACTTTTAAAATGTTGAATTATCAGCATTAGGAAAGTAAATGTATTGAAATGTTAATGATCACTTTAATAATTCAATATTTTAAAAAATAAACAGTTAAAAATTAGTCTGGAGATAGTATGGTAGGAGATTCACCTAGAACAGATTATCCCCAAAGTATTTTTTGAATCTCAAAGGATGACAACAAATAGATAAGATAGAACAGATCTGTTGATGTATTTATGTAGACCTATTTTCTGATATTATTAGGACAGTTTGCCTTCCTGTTACGCTAAGAAAATAAAATGATGGGCCTAATCATATAGTGATTAAATGATTATATAAAGCTGGAATTTCTGGTAATTTTTGAATGAATCTTTTCAAACAATTCAGTCTTATAGAGGAGTTTTTAGTTTGTTTAATTTAAACAAAAGAAGGCAGAACTTGATTATTCTCTTGCTTAAAAGAATAAAAATTTTCAGATGACTAAATTGTTGTCAGCAAAACAGTTTAATATATAATTTATTTACAAAGGATTATTTTAGGTTAGAGTTAAAATATTAAGATTTTTGTTCCTATCCAATGGATGAAAGATTTTAAGTAATGCATTTCAAATACTTGGAATAGCATCATGAGATTGCTGATAGTGTTTTGTTTTTAAATTGGCATTTCATAAACTACAGAAGATTAGATTTCAATGATAATTAACTTTTTCCTATGAATTGCTGTACAATTTTAACTATTATAAATGAACTTTGAGAAAGCAAATGTAAATAATTGCATCTAAAATGTATAAAGATGAGCTGTCTTATTTAATGTCAGTTTTTAAAATACAAAAACCTATTTTCAAAGAGAGTTGTGCTACCATAGTTAGATTTTGACTTTACCAGCTCTGAGAAAAAGCCAACTCTTAACTGTATTTAAGAAAATAAAATCAAGAAGGGCTAGAATGAGCAAATACAGAAAGACGTCCATGCTAGAGTGGACACGATTTTACAGGCACCCAAGGATCAATTCTTTGAATATGTCAAGGAGAAGAAGATTTCAAATGATCACTGAGAGCACTATTACTAATTAACTTTTTCCTGTGAATTGCTGTACAATTTTAACTGTTATAAATAAACTTTGAGAAAGCAAATATAAATAATTGCATCTAAAATGTATAAGGATGAACTGTCTTATTTAATGTCAGTTTTTAAAATACAAAAACCTAATACCTGGTATTCTCCCAGTCTTTACTATGTAAACATGAAAAAACTCTATTTTTTAAAAATTGTAATCATTCTTCTTTTTTATAGGAGGAATAAACATGGGGTGTCTCGTGAAAAGATTGCACAGATGTTGGATCATTATGAATATAAAATGTCCATCTCTATTGTAATGAATTCAGTGGAACCTCCACATAGAAGGTCTGAGAGACTTCGAAGACAGAGGTGGGGAGGCTGTGTAGACTCATGGAATCACTTTGATGTTGCAAAATAACTAATATTCAGTCTGCTTTCAACTAAAATGAGCTTGTGGCTTACCCTTAAAAAACGAGCATTGAGACTTTCTGGAGGTTTTTAAATAGGTTCACATCTAATAAAAAAGAACTATCATTACCTCACAGAGTTTGTTCCCAGAAAACTGTTTAAATTTTAAAATGTAAATAAAAAATAGTATATAAATTGTACATTATTTTTAAATAATTTTTATTGTACTAATTTTGGTTTTAGCAAAACATCTGAATAGTGTGATGTGAAACAGAATTCTTTACTTCAGTTGAATCATAAAATAATTTTGATGTCCGAAGTAGGAACCATTGAGTAGTTTTTTTATTGTAAAAATTGGTTTTAGGTAAAATCTTGACTATTCTCCCCCTCAGACAACTTGGAATATGCAAAACATAGCTAACGTGTTACAGTGTATTCTAATATTTTATATGGCACTCATTTCTTTATATGGGTAAAATATTGTTTTTACAAACATGTCCACTTAAACTTTCTAAACTCCAACCAATGGCTGAAATATTTTGAATAGATTTTAATTTTAAAAATAAACTGAATAGTCCCTTAGAATTGATTATAATAAAATTTTGCCCTAGGATATTTTGCTTTTGCCACTTTTTTTTTTAATACAGGGCACCTTATATTTTCTGAGTAACAGTTTTCATATTGAATTAGAATTCCATCAATTAAAATTGTAAAATAACACTAAGTTAATATAATTCATCCCCCTTAATTTCCGGCAAAGTTAAAAAATCATATGTGGAGCTAGAATGAATTAAAAAGTGTTTACTGTGTACCAGGTAGTGTGCTACGGTCAGGATGTGAATAAGCACCAAGGCCCTTTACAATCTGTCGCCACTGTATTTTTCCATCCCTAATTACTGCCCCTTTGTGCACACTGTAAGGATCAGTTAGTACAACCTTTTAATTTCATACTTGAGAAAACTGAGCCCCAGGGAAGTGAAGTGTTTTGGCCACATAGCACAAACCTTCAGGCAAGAGAGAGAAGATTCAAACCCAGCTTGGTCGCTTGATTCCGATTGGCCTTTCTGCTGTCTCTATACAATTGCCCTGAATTTGTTCTATTCTTAAAGGTCTCCAGCAAACTTCTTCATTATCCCCTTCAAATGTTTAACAGTTTAACTAGCAGGAAAACATTTAAAAAGAAACCTGTGATTTTACTGGTATACAAGGTGTGCATCAATGCAAGTACAAACCTATGCCATAACAAACGGTTTATGAATTGCTATGGCCAAAACAGTTTATTACCTAGTGGTTAACTTCATGGTAAGAAGCTCTTTCCAACGTAGCTAGCTTCATCCTTGATTAGTAGGACAAATGACCTGTTGCTGGGTGCTAAAAAGGACCCATCAGAGCTTGTGTTCCTCTTGCATAGCCGTCAGGTGCCCAGGATCATCTGATGAAGCAATAGGGCTTTATAGAGGACTTGATGACATTGTATGTTTATAATTCCCCTTCACATGTTATAAGTATGTCATATCATATAACATCCATTACCAATTAATAACTGTCTATATCCTTAAAGCCTTTTTTCTAAACCCAACATTCCCAATTTTTGCATCTTTTTTTTTCCTACTGCTTCTTAATATTTTGTCATTCTCTACTTCGCAATTCTTTCATCTTTCTCTTCATCACTCTTGCGTTGTAGAATTCAAAACCAGGTGCAATATTCAAGCAGGCTTTAGGGAAGTTACCTCAGGGTTTACATATTTGTACAGCTCATTGCCATGTTTAGTTTTGAATGAGTGTTACCTCATTCTTGTTCTTGTTCAGCATGTATCTGTGTATCTGCATATGTAAATACAGGCATGTGCTAACTCAGGCTCCATATTTTCTTTTTTCTCAGAAAAGTACTTGTTATAATCTTATTCCCAAAGTACCATATTTCTAAAGTATGCTGTCACAAACAGGAATCAATAAAAGTAAGTTTGAATTTCTGCAGGGAAGAAAATGTAACTCATCATTTTTTTTTTTTTTTTTTTTGTTTTGTTTTGCTTCTATCCCCTTCAAAGTTTCTGTTAGGAAATGGAATATAGTAATCCACAATAGCTTTTAGGAGCAAGAGGCAAGTAACAGGAAAACCAGGTCATAGGGTATATCTTGTGATCACTATTGATTCAGCCACTTTCCTATAATCCATAGCCCTAATCTTCCAGTCTTTATATCTGTGATACTCCAAAATGATCATTCAAAAATTCTGAAGCATCAAATAAAGAATTAATTACCTTAATTAGACCATATATAGCAAAACCCAAAAGGGAATATTTTTTAGGAAAATTTTTAGTAAAGAAGGTTGGAGTAACAGTTTTTGGTAAAAACAAAAAAAATTATTCTAGTTAATCATGGCTTTCCTTCTCACTTTGTGAATAGTAACATTAGAAAAGGATAAATAAGTGATCCCTTTCCCTTAGATTTCCAAATTAATATTTTAGGTGATCATGTAGCAGTGAAATAGTTAAATTATAAAAATGAAATTTTTTAGTTTGAAAATTGAGGTGATTTGATTATCCAAAATTTAAAGATAAAACTTATGAATATAGGTTGTATTGACAGGATCTTTGTGGTCCTTCTTCTCTTCCCCCACCCCCAGGAGAAGTTAATTATACTTATTTTCAATTAAATAATATTGTATATTGTCTCCCAGCACTCCCTGCCTGGACTGAGTCTAAAATTTATCACAGATATCCTACTTGGATCATTTATATTAGTGAACTGCAGCTGTAAAGTTTACTCACAGTTCTTAGCTACATTTTTCATAGATTTTATATAAATATTTGTGCCCCTGGGTTAAGCTAATTTGCAAGTTATATGTGTGCCACAAATCCTGTTGGTATTTTAAAAAAAAAAGCAAAAGAAAAAAACTACTTGCATGGTCATTCAAGTTGAACTTGGTTATATTTGTCTTTTATCTTCGTTTTGAATCAGTATTCTTTATTTCCTGTGCTATGCCTGCTTAACTGGAATATTAGTTCTGTTTATATAAATCTCTCTTAAAATATTGTTTGAAAAAGACTGGGTTGTATTTTTTGTGGGCTGATGGAGGTCAAATATTTGGAAGCAGATGCTGTTTAGTATGTTTTCCAGTTAATGTAACCTGTTTGGGATTTTCCATTTTCTACATAGGGTTAAGCTTCTGAGAAATCATGACTAGTTGGGGAACTGTTGTTATTAGAGAAATGGCTGACTTTTTTTCTGATACTAGATTTGAAAATATTTGTAGAGTCAATAGTGGTAATACTGTTAGTGGAAAATGTTGAGGAAAAGCAGTTTTTTTTATTGTTATTGCCAAAGTATCCAAGTTAGCACCTTGAGTGATTGGTTGCCAACTTCTCTTGCATTTTTATCTAGTATAAAAGTGTGGTTGAAGTAAGTATACATTCAGTTTTCTAAACCTGAATTAAATACTCAAATAACTCAAGTAAAGCCAGTTTTCACCAGTACTGTACAAGGAAGCATTAGGTGGCTTTGCTATTAAAAAGCCATTCACGTAAGACATTGAGAGCAAGTAGATTGGATTAATTTTCAAAGTAGGGTCCAAAGTGAGAAAATTTGATGCTCAGAAATTTGCATGAGATTTTCTTCCATGTTTCTAATAAAAATAGAACCTTGAAGACAAATAGGAATTAGCTAGTAGTAAGTTTGTTACAATAGATAGGTCCTCAAAGAGAAGGTGGGGAGCAATAACCGTTTATGTGAAACAGCTCTGCCTTGTGGCCTTATTTTACCTTTGGAAAAGAAGTTCTTAAACGTTTTGGTTCAAATTGTGAGATGTTTTAGGACTGAAATATTTCCTTTGGTGGTAGCTGATAATGTTTTCATAGTGGATGCCTGAAAAATCTATTATCTTAATTTCACAGGTCAGAAAACTAGTAGTGGGATGCTTGCCTTTTTATATCTACCATTTATACTTAGACCAGACTGAATTGTGTAATTTAAGTGTTTAAAAGTGAGAAAATACGATCTAATCCTTGAGAGGCTGAGAATGATAAGTTAAAATGCATCTCCCTTGGAAATAAAATTTTACCTTCCACTTGAGTGTAATTATGTGTACATACTAAAAAGGAGGCAACCAGATACACAATAGCTATTTCAGAAAAAGCCATAAGATCAAATAGAATTTGAATTGGCCAGTTCTCATTAATTTAACACAAATGCTTAGGCTTTGTTTTAATCTTAGAACAACTTTGAGTCACATTGACTAGGTATCTATTGAGTAACCAAGCCTTAATCAAAGATTGCCTTTCTAGTTGTGAATAGTCTCATATTCTTTCTAAAGTGGTAAATTAGAAAAATCTATGAAAATCTTTGAATTTTTAAAAGAAACTATTACTTTTTTTAAAAAAATTCCATTACAATTAAAGAAATAAAAATAGCCTATACATTTGTATTTTAAAATGTATTCTGGTTTTATAATGGTCATTGAAATATATAGTTTGGAATGTTTGTGCTTAGAGTTGTAGTTGTCTTTTTAGATGTGGGGACAGGTGAAAATTAGTTAACTTTTTCCAAAGGTGATAATTTTTGCTTACATTTTGTCTCCTTTCTTACTGTGCTTTGATATCTTAGATTTTCTCCTCTACTCCTCAGTGTAACAAATTAATGAAACATTTTGGAGGAGATTGTATATCCATTCTCTTCCTTTATTCTCTCCTGATCTGCCTTTTTCATTAATCATTTTTCTGGTTTACTCATTACTTGCATTTTTTTAAACCTGTTATCCCCTCCCCATACTTCCCTCCCATTTTTTCCTTCAATTTAAAATTCTAGCTTATTCTAGGAAATGTTTGTGTTAATCTCTATTTCTAGACAAATTTCTTATGATCCTTAGAGCAATGCTTGTGGTTTTATGTGATGTCTATTTGGAATGGGCAAATAAACCTTAGGACCTTTAGATACTATAAATCAAAATGTTGTACAGAAAAGCA